CAAATTATGCATATGGTAATCAAAAAGCGAACATTGATTGTTAATTTCTTCAGTTTGGTAATCTGGCACCCCGTACATCTTGAAAGCTCACTCTTGAATTTCCTCTTTCAAGACCACACCTACAGTTCAAAGGCTGTCCACGAAAAAACAATCAACAACTATGAAAGTAGCAATATCACTTCTCTGTGTCTCGCCGTTGTTGCTCTATTGACTGGTGTATCTGCTGAAAAAGAGGCTGCTCAGACATTCGGCTATATCGGCGCTTCAACGGGCTATGGCTATTGCTATGGCCATGGAGTTAGAGTTGGAGTTAGAGTCGGTGCTGGGATATATGGACAAGGAAACGGCTATGGTGGAGATGGGGCTGAATTGCGCGGTCCGGGTTATGGCTATGGTAGAGCTTGGGCTGGATTGCGTGGTCCGGATCATGGCTATGGTGGAGCTGGAGTTGGCGCTGGATTCTAAGACCAGTCATAGTTGGTACTGAGACACAATGAAAGGGGTATCGATTGCTCCAATCAGTCTAAAGCGAAAGAGGTTCAGCTAGAATGTTTGACGCCGCAGAAGTGATTGTATGTGCTAGTTTTGCCAGTAGCTAATCTTGGGGAAGGTGTAATATCAGTTCGTGGAGGAAAAAAACTTTAACCTAAAAGTCTAATATAGATGATCTCATGGAGTTGCGGTATTGTCCACATTGATTCGGTAAGATTTGCTGTATGTGCTGTTGATTCGTTCGATCTATGAGCTTACGTGTGGCATATCGGGTCTTAAAAATGGGGTCAGTGCCTCATTTTGTTTTCTGAAAGCAGTCTGCAAGAGACCTTTTTAGCGTTAAATATTAATTTTTTGTGCTGATGTCTTATCAAAAGTCACGATATTTGATGATGATGATGAAGGTCAGGTATTTTGTGTTACATGTAGATGAACGACGATACCCTTTCTCCTAGCTACACTACGTTATTACGCGTTTCGACTAGGAGGGAGCCGGCGTTCAGCCGCCAAAGTTGGCTCGCCGGCTGGGTTCCGAAGAATGCCCGAGTTCTAGCTTCTCTAGAACGGTGCTCCATCCCAGACAACTTAGACCTGCAACCGAACTCTTGGAGCCAGTATTGTAGGTCTTGGTTGAGGTGTTCCGCAATGACCTCCCAGTTTGGGTGAGAGGTACTTGCTCCGCATTGTTGGATCGACATGAATCCATTGTGATGTTTGCTGCGCGATCTGCCATTTTGTTGTATGCCCTTGGGTGGTGGCACCGGCCGACGACCTGCAGCTTGCGAATCTCGAGCTGACATTGAGCATAACTACGCCAGAGGGTGTGCTTTTGTAGAGGCCGACGTTCTCGCACCTGTCCGATGATCATTGAGCTGTCTCCGATCACGTAGAGCGGCGAGCATCCGTGTGACACTGCGTAGCGAAGTCCATGATACAGG